TCAGACTTGACCTATAGAGCGGAGAGAGTGAGAACAACTGAGGCGAAACACTAGGCAGGAGCAGCAAAAGATGATTTGTTTGCGTTTCGTACGTAATATACGAAAGGTAAAATGCTTCAGTCACCACTCATACCTTACCTTCACCACTTTCTCCAATTAGGAAATGAAAATGCCAAACCTCAAACACAACTCGACATAATAGACAAATTACTTACGAATTCTCATAATTTACATCGAATCGAAAGACGAATTGCAGCATCATCTGAAGACCATATAAGACTCGCATAGGATAAATAATGGAAAAAATACATTTTTTGTATCTGATCGAGTAGTTCAAAAAACCATCTGACAACACCATATGGCAGTTTTTTTACTTTAAAACTTATCAATTATTAATTTATTCAAATGCACGTTTTAAACTATGCTCAAATTTTTCGATTGGTTTCAGATCAGATTATTTTTAAGATAATACCCGTTACGTGCAGATAGAGAGGATACAAAAATTGGATAAATGAGTTGGTGGTTCGATCTCAGCTGGCAGCGTAATTTGGTTCATAATTGGCAAAGAGGTCGGGTGATTAAGATCAGAAATATTGAAGTAATAAATCACCTACTTCAAGTAATTTTTTACTTGGAGGAATATATTACCTTAAGTAATTTATTACTTGAAACTCTCCCAAATTTGGCAATATCTAGAAACCACCAGAACGCCCTTATCAACGTCAACACCATTGTTACAATTCATTATAATAACAATTTGCCACTTGTAAAAATTGAAGCGAAATTTTTCACATTTTGCTACCCAAAATTACAAAAAGTTTCTATGAGAAAACAAAATAATAATAAGGAGTGTAGCTTGTCCTGTGGCCTAAACAGCGCAACATAGCGTAACACTGGGCACAATATCATCCAAGAGAACACATACTGCATAATGGTAAAGTGTAGGTCTCTTTAATGGCACACTGAGTCAGCAATATAGGGGAAAACGGGGCACTGAAGGCACCCCGGCCCTTGTCAGATACCCCACTGTGATGCCGGCCTAGCGGGACCGTTACTCGGTGCGCCCGCGGGACGGCCGGGTGCGCCGGCCGCGTCCCAAACAGGATTGTGAGGTCGCCCAAAACAGGATTGTGAGGCCAGGCGATAGGAGCCTAGGCCAAGCATCCTTCAACGCCCAAGCCGACAACGATTGAAACGCAAATTATTTAGTACCGAACATACGAAACGCGAGTTTTGCATCGATTCAATTTGATAAATATTTCTCAAAATGAAAATCATACGCTTGCGGCTTGATTTTCGAAGCATCAAACAGGCATTTAGGGCACGAATAATTCATCAATGCGCAAGATTCACTAGTTGACTAGAAAGTTCAGGAAAGACGCAGTTCGTTCTTTCATTTGCGTTCGAAAATAATAATTTACAAAATCGAACGACGAATTATCCTCGAATATATAATTGAGTATACAGTATATGTATACAGTATGTGGCCCAGTGGTTAAAGTTTAGTACCAAGATTGGAGGAGAGAGGTTCGGGTTCGATCCCGGTTCTGTGCGCCTGCTTCTGCTCAGAATCGGCAAGGAAGCCGGGCGGTTAAACCAAGAAAATTTGAAGCAATGAGTTGCGAGTTGAAGCCCTCAAAAAGCTGTGGATGTTCTGCAATGTTAAGAATAGGTGACAGACGTATGGTCTAATAAACATTGATACTGCTACATTATTATATAATACTATTATTATATTATGTATCATAGATGCAAACACTCAAATAAAATAACTTGAAAATACTTCGAAGCAGGAGACAATATCGGAATACAATCGTATCAATTGACGTTAATTTACTTTCTAAATCTAACTTCCGTTTACTTTCTTAATTACACTCCTTAACTTTCTCATCGTGAATGCATTAACACACTCAACCACGATGAAGAGAACATATTAAGCACTGGCCACCATGCAGGATGCAATTAATATGGCACCCACAAGTAGGGCGGGAATACACAGCACCACCGGCCATCACGTCCTGGGTCCATAATTTCAAAGTTCGTTAAGTGAACGTAAGTACTTACGCTCTATTTTCTTGTCTATGATTGGTGGATTTTGCTTGAAAGTCCGTCAATGATTGGCTGATGAACTTACGATCTCTTAACTTTTTTTTGAAAGTATAGGCCCAGGGTCCCCACGACCACAACTTTGTCCGGCCCGGGACGTTCTCCCGTGGCTCCGGGTGAAAGCGCGGTGCTGGGACGAATGCAATACGGAAATGTCCTGTAAATATGGATATTTCTCACGCACCTGCAAGACTTTGTCATGCGATAAAAAACACATCCATCATAGGTAAGAATGAACGTCTCGACAAATTTCAGTGTACAAGGTTATTGAAAGATTGGTAGTCAATAGATTCCACAATCCAGCAGGAAGTCAGCAAAGTGAGAAAATTATATCGTAACTAAGTAATACACGATGCATGATTGGATGGAATGTTTAGGAATTAGATGGCGGCAATTTATTAACAGTACACAGTGGACGCGCAGGAGAGCTGGGGACGTCATGCTTGTGCATGATTAAAGGCAGCTTGAACTCCAGGAATACAAAGCAATACGTCACGAGTTACTCCAACATAGACCATGCAATTGAGTCCAAACAGGCTTTTATGTGTAAAAGAACCGTCAGCCATAAAGCCCGCTCGTCTCAAGTTCTATATTTGGGACTTGAAGACTTCTGGACAGATATTATGTTGTACATAATTTGTGGCCCAGTGGTTACAGTTCATAATACCAAGATTGGAGCTGAGAGGTGCGGGGTCGATCCCAGCTCTGTGCGCCAGTTTCTGGTCAGAATCGGCAAGGAGGCCGGGCGGTTAAGCAAAGAAAATTTGAAGCAGTGAGTTGCGAGTGCAAGTCCGCAACAAGCTGTGAATGTTCTGCAATGGTAAGAATCGGCGACAGGCCTACGGCCTAATACGCCGAAACAACTATATTATATTATTATATTAATTTTTCATTATTGTAGGAGGACAAATTTCAAAGTGCGGAAACGCACCATGGCTGTAATACAAATGCCGAGTGTACGATAATTAATGGTTCTGACGTAGAGACGGAATTTTACGTATTAGTCGGGGCGTACCGTCGATGCCTAGCATTTTGCGTATACAATTCGGAATTTGTTTCGAAAGAAATTTCAATTCAAAAATCTGCATTGACATGATCCGACATTTTAACATTGTTCATCGTTGTAAGTTAAAGCAATTTTACGTGTCGCGGGGCTTAGTTTGTATAATCCCGCTTCTACGATTCGTATTTATATATATCTGTGTATAAAAAGCCTTGCTATAAGCCTACTGTATGTTCCCGTATAATTTCTCAACTCGCATGAACATCCAAACACCACGTACCCTAAGAAGGATAAGCATTCATAGGAAGTAAAAAGACGAGCAAGGGAGTCAGTGCAACGTTGAGGGAGTTTTGGCGGTGCGTCTTGTGCAGCGGTGACGCGTCGTGCCCTCAGCGCTCAAGTCTCGCACATCGGTGACACATCGGCTTCAATACAAGACGCAAAATCCAGTCAGGCACAGAAATTTTGCAATTTATATTGCACATTATCATGCCTGCACAGAGGTTACTAAGGCGAGTGTGATTTTGAACTTAATTTTCAATCTTTAAAGTGCATGCTCTTGATACGTTCTTTATTCAATGTGGTTGAGGAAATCAGCAAGAGCCATTTCGTTTGACATTGTCGGTTTTTTCCTTTGTGCATTTTTAAATTTGACGACAAATTTTTGATTCGCATTAGTTGATCAATCAACCAATTTACCAAGCCAAAACAGTCTACTTAAATTTGGTAGAATTACTTACACGAGATGGAGATATTAATGAATCTACATGTGCGTCCAAGAATTGTAATGACAGATGCATATTGAAGCATATGTCCGTCATATAGATATGTTATTCGTGAGATCTCTCTGTGTAGAGGCAGGTCAGGCCCACGGTACACGACAGCGTGGGAAATCATTCTTCAGCTCCGCTATTATCACTGGAATTGGGAAAAATATTTCCCGTCTAAAACGTGACTTGGGTGATTGACTTTGGCCTTCCATGCAGTACCTATACCGAGAAGTCCTACATGAAGATAATAACTTTGAAATTGAACTACAAATCTTACCAAACTCACCGGCTCAAATGAACAAGAACGAATATATTAACGGATAAAAATGGTTTTGTAATAAAACAGAACACTCTAGAAAAAAAGAGTGTTGCATGAAGAGAAATTATTCAGTAGTTACGTTATGGTTGTTGAACGCTAATTTCACTGAGTATTGTGCTAAAAACTGAATATTAACCATACATATAATTGGTACACCAGAGTGTCTCCTGAGCAGCAGTGAAAGGGAATATGCATACCCTTGTGTACAGAGGAATGAATTACATGCGTATGAACCTCGACAACATTACGTGCTGCAAAAAGCTGCATCGTTGCGCATGCATAGCGCGTGTTGTCTGCTCAGTCACTTTCACTGTGTAAGATAACGCAAGACTAAAATGTACTGAAAAAATCCTTAGCGCACACGGAGAGAGTCGCGCTTGACGGACATCTGGATTGTGGAACGATTACCGGAGTCCAAGTAATCTCGATACACCCGAGCTCTAGATTTGCACCATTTGTACCGTGAACGCTCCGCAACTCGTGAGTTGAGGATAACATTCAGAACTAACATTGGATACTGCGTCATTACCCATATTACTTATATTATTTTTACTTGAAGAGTAATTAAAACAGATAAATGGACTTGGAATGTTACGCGTAAAACCCTTACAAGGATTTTCAAGCAATTTGAACTTAGAATAATGCAATATTACTTCGCAATGATATAACTGCACGGCGTCGTAAAAAGAAATTACTCAGCAGAACGATATTTCAGTGAACTTATTAATCTTGTGCGAGGTCGTTTTTCATGTCGTAATAAAAAATATCTTCTACGTGAGCATATCATACGCTGTGCACTAACCTTTTGTTATAGAGATAGAAGTTGTAGCCGCTATTGTAGAGCGATCATTTCAAAGGTGAAGGTCCTGCAACAAAGTAAACAAATACGGATTAGTCACTAAGCTATGAACATATTAATGTTAATACAAGTGTATGGCAATCGCAGGTCTCGACGCTGGAGGCATAAAATATTCCTATAATATGAAACAAAAATTAATTGAACATTCATAAACAATATCACCGCTATACAAACGTTGATTTTCATACAGCAATGAAACTTGTAGAAACAAAACTAGCCTAAAAATGCAGCAATACGCAGCACTGCGTCTTCCAGCATTGAAACAGCATGTTTTACAACACTGTGTCTTCTAACATCAAAAACATGAATAAAATTACTATATCTTAGAACATAAGAATTGACTTCTTTAGCGTGTGAATTGCTGAGTGTTGGGTTGAGTGCCTTAGAAAAGTGCCTTGGGTGGAGTTCCTTTTTATCTAAAAAAAACAATGTACACACAGTAATAGCATTAATCGTTGAAAAAAATCCATTCCAACTGAACATATGTGTGCTTACGGTGCCAAGAACCGTAGATAAGAATGTGCGAAGACTTGATTGTTCATTTAGTTAAAAGAATGCACGGGTTGTGTTGAAAACCTCATAATAGATCGTGTACAAGTGAACGGTCTAGCAGCCATCTTCAGCTACAGATATTGTGCCTCCATGTAACGGCTCGTCCTGAGTACATCCTGTGACCTGGCCCAGCAGCTTCCTCCACTCGGTTCTGTGGACGCCCAAGGAGACCATATATCTGCATGAGACACTTCACTGATGAGATCAGAACGCTAGTTAGCCCATTATTAGGCCAGTTTATGTTCATGCAGACAAGGGAAAATCATTCCAATTGTCTTCTTTTAAGTTGAACTGTCCTCACCGTGTCGGGCCAACCGTTATCTCTCTTTCTCGTCCGCATCCAGTGCATAAAAAATTCGCCCGCGGCAGTTTATAGTGCTCATTATAGCCCCGCTTCATCTGCATCTATACCATACTTCTACAAGTATTCATGCAAATATAATAAAACGAATATTTACTAGCTATTTCGCCAGCTTCAGGTATCAAAATATTCATTCACAACACTGCCACTTGTGCAGACGGTGAATAAATTTTCTATGAAAGCCTTGCTTAAGGGCGAAATATTGTATTAGATAGTTACACTTGCTGCTCCGCCGTTAGGTACGTAAAAGAAATAATTCTATTAATTCTATTAATAATCTGCGGCAAAAGTTGCTTTAAGAGAACAAGCATTCGAAAGGATCGTGGAGTCAAAATTATGCATTTCAAATTCGCGCTGCCCGCAATGTCCTTTCATTGTATATTTACTAATGTTCTACTAAAAGAAACGATGTTGATGCAAAGAACATATTCTCACTACAGTACGTATAGGTAAATCACTGCTTTGATAACAAAAAAGTCCTACAATTGGTGCGACATCAATTTATTAGTTAGTATTTAGAACATCTTGAATTTCCATACGGTAAAAGATAGCTACTCAAATCATATGACCAACGAGTGGATAGAATGCCTCGTTTGCTGTTGAGAAATTAAATATACTGATAATCTTATAAAAATGTGATAACGTAGTGGGTTTTGTGAAGAAGGTCAAAGAGCGACGGCAGCCGAGCAGCGTCACTTAAACCGTCAATAGCCTGGAGACTCTCTGAGGAGAGAGGGGAGCACCGCGCACGAAATTGCACGGACCATGAGAAGAAAATATGTCCAGGCCCGAATACCGCAAGAATTAAGTGGTACCTCAGTACGCCATCTCTGTGCTACCATCATCCTGTTACCAGCGGTCGCGCAAGGCTACTACTCAATTACAAGGACCATGAGAAGAAAATATGTCCAGGCCTGAATACCGCAAGAATTAATTAAGGGGTACCTCAGTACGCCATCTCTGTACTACCATCATGATCATCCTGTTACCAACTGTCGCGTATGGCTACTACTCACGTTTAAGAGTAGAGCTTATAACATCATCCTCTCGTGGTGTAGTTATTTTGGATCTCTACTGTACAAATACTTTTCACTTCGTGCTGTTAAGAAACCAGCCAGTCTAACGAGACGCGTAAATCTAGTTGAGACTTACGTAAGACAAAAACTCCGACACAAACGTCATTACATTTCTTGCGTTCCATGAAAAGTATAGATCACAAAAATATCAAATGTATTATAGATGGTTTTCTTACACATTCTCGATGTTCATTGAGAAGGAAAATTCTTTCAGGTAATAACACTAAATTCAAATGGCTAGAAAAAGTGTCGGCTTATCATTCAAGAGGTTGAAGAAGCTCGTTGGACCTAACGAATTGAGCATTTTCTCATACGTAATATCTTGATAATGATGCTTTTAAAGGTAGTTCAGAGTAATAATATGCATTAATGACAGAAATCTCAATATAGAAAAGTACAAATTTATAGTTCTCAAATTTGGTGATTTTTAACACGTTTTTAACACGTTTTTCTTAGCTTAGCTTCGCGTTTGTTTGTTTGTTTGTTTGTTTATTTGTTTGTTTGTTTGTTGTTAACATTGACAACGAAAATTAGCCCACTTCTGATTGTTCTAGAGATCTGAAATTCGGCATGCAGGCTATTTTCGCCTAAAAATTTCAGATACTGCCCGACCCACGTTTTTTGGGGCGAGCCATAATTTATTTTCCACTTTTTAGTCTACAAGAAAAACGTGGTTTTTTAAAAAGTTTTTTTTTAAGTATTTTATTTCCCATCCCCACTCCTATCCGGTTTCATCATGGCCTAGTTTTCAGTCATCTTAAGAATCCATGAGGATATAACAAAGATCCTTCTCTTGCGTAGAGGTAGACCCAAAATAGCTTGTATTTTTGACTCTGCAAGCCTGACCAGCAGATCAGCTCGAGCGTCTGTTGCTGAACAGCTTTCTCAGCCCCGGGCCACTGCTGCTGCGTTGGGATGACGCAGGGAACGTACACGCATAGGGTAGGTTTAGTAGCAACCACTGCGTACTGCGCATAGGATGGCATCACATGCACTTCCATGTCCATAGCAGTGTTCAGCATGCATGAATTCATGTAGATTACCCTATCCCAAAAATTAATTTCCAGGCAATATGAGTGTCGTTCTACTTTAATTAGTTCAACATGGAACATAAATAAAGAACAACATGAACAGTCAACTTCCAGGAGCGTCATCTGCTAGGCACGCTCGACAGCTAATCGTCCAGTCAGGGCACCCGGTATGTCCGGAGCTCACGAGTCGAGATTAAAGAAAGCTGACTTCTCTTCGTCGGCATTTATACTCTGGAGTTTAGCGCCTTTTATTTAAGCCATATCTTCTTAAATTAGTTCAAATCTTGATTGTTTTATAACACATGCAAAGTAAAGTAAATCTTGATTGTTTTATTACACATGTAAAGTACAAATTTAGATAGACTTCTGAAAAGGAGCGATCGAATTGCATTATTTTAAAGCGCCGAAATTCAGTACGTAATACAAATTAAATGCGAGTAAAATTCTCAGCATGATTTAAATTCATGACAAATCGCCTACATACGTTTTGTTATGAATAGTTTAGTAGATTGTAATAGTAGTAGTTTAGTAGATAGTTTGAGCGAGGAAGCTCCATTTTGACTGCGTGAGTGCATATGTCGTACAAGTTTGACGGCTTTGCTAGAAAACAAGAATATGACAAAAAAGAAGAAGAGAGAAAGCAATAGGTATACGTTGACGCGCTTGCTTGGGCTTCTGAAGATCTTCTGAAGGCGAGATGGTCAATGCAGTTCAAGTTAAGACACTTTCTCTAGCCAGTAGAAATATCGTAAAACTTTCAATAAATGAAACTTCGTTATAAGCCAAAATAATTTCACTTGTAAAAGCGGTGAATTGAAAGTCGGTAATACGTTAAATGTACAAGCAAATTTAATAGTCGAAACGTTATTTTAGGCATGTGCCGATTCAGTTTTTAAAGTCTATACTGGACTTATGTGCGTGTGCGATTTTAGAAAAAAAAACAGGTTTTCATCAAAGAGAGTACATTAGCAATTCACTAATCGAGTGCTCGTCTCACATAAAGAAGTGTTGTTGGTGGTAGGAACACAAGCAAAGGGTTTCACTCGCCATCAGTTTACCGCTACAGCGGGAGAGCGGCGGCTGAATGGGTCAGAGAAAGTTCTCAGACGAGCTTACCAAGACACGATTGAAGCTGGCCTTGCCGATAACTGTTTACCACCATGTGCACTTGTGCAGTGTGCAGAGGTTCCCAATGAGTCGCCTCAGTCTGAAAAGTATTCGCCCATTCAGGATTTCTACATCTTTTTCTCTCATTGGATTTCTACATCTTTTTCTCTTTTTCGCATGATACAGGCTTTCGCATGATGTTTTCTCCATACGCATGATGTAGGCTTAACCAATGAGATATATAATATATGTTGAAATCCAGAAAAAGGAAAGATGCCCGAGTTATAAAGTACATAGTTCCATGGCGCTTGAAATCGTTAACAAAATAGTAAAAATTGCAGAATCCAATGGATAACTTAATGTGCTTTTTTAATGTTGAACCGAAAAGCTCGATCATTGAATTGATAAATTTTCCGCACCCTTGGAACGCATGGAACGAATTGGAACGAATTGGTTTGAAGGATATATACTCGCTTAACAGACCCAGACCGGGAATGCAGCAGGTGACCGCAATGCCTATTTCGGATAACATTACGCAGATGTTTTGTAGTATGAATCTTATACTAAATTAACGTAGACAGCATCGATTATCACACTTAACTTCTCTTTAATTACTGAACGCATCACATTTAGTTGCACGTTCGTGACAACATCAATTGAATCATTGAAGTTTTCCGCATTGTGGCTAAATATTTCATGAAAGCAATCAATTTTGATCCTGATTTATATTCAAATTGAAACTTATGGCTCACTAAATTTCTTGAAAAAATGCGTAACAGGAAATAAAGACCGTCGGAACCACGCGTGGGTCTCGAAGGTCGTTGGAACAAAGCGTGATCATCAAATTCGACGTCTCACATTCCGTCAAAAGACCTCTGGC